ACACAACTGATCGAGTGTTTATATCATAGATTCCCAATGTGGGCGCTGAGAAGATCTAGACGGGCGTTATAGTTATTTTATTTTGTTTCATTTTTAATATAACTTTTTAAGATTCAAAAAATACACGCATAACTTTAATTAGAAATTTTGATAATAGCGATAGCTTACTCCAAGGGGTGCTGACTAGAAACAATACTTTGAAAAAGGAGCAGTGAGCTAAAAAGGATTGGAAAAGTATGGTTTATACGATACACAGGATTATGGGCTCTCATGAAGTGGTTGTGGGGAAACATATTCGTAGGTTATGTCGCTACGTTCTTGATCGTAATATCTAAATTCCAAGCGATTCGCCGTACCTGAGGCAACAGTCTTCCAGGGGACATTTTTCCGCGCTTCCTTCAAGCGGAACGCTCGAAAACGCACTTTATCGCGACGTAAGGTGCGGAAACGGGGTTGCTTTATCGTGTCACCTCTCCGTCTCTCCTATGTTCGTACACGTTGATCTGTTTCCCCGCAATGCGGGCGGCTGAATTTCCTCCGAGAGAACCAGGGCCATTCGACGGCACTGTTTTACGAGCCGGCGATACACTTTACGCGTGGTACATCAATTCTTATTTTTCCATTTCCCCTGCTCTGCCGTAAATGAAAGTCGCGCGGGGGGCTCCCACGCTTCGTTTTCGATAGCCCCTCGGGAGGTCTGAGCACACGATGACGGTCGTAACGGTCGTTTATGCGAGACATTGATGGTTACCGTTGGCGCGGTGCCATTTAGATCTGTTGCTTTTGGAAAAAGAAGAATGTGTTTTTATAGAGTTTGATGATCGCTGAAGATAAAATTATTGAGTTTAATTTATAATTGAATGTGTTGAAATATTCGATTGGTCAGGTGGACATCCTATTATTTACGTTGACTCAGGTGTTCGGTCATATATAACATTTTCCAAATTGCATTCTCATGTAAGAAAACATCGAAATAAACAAGCGTCTCTTTAAGTAACTATTGAATAAAAGTAAAATGTAAAAATATTGATGGGTTTCCTGAGACCTCACCATACCAGTTAAGGGTTAATGTTGCATTTTCTGCAATAACGACGTAAGTAAAGAATCGCGATTATAGGGAAAACAAGTTTGAATATTTTGATCGCTATAATTTTATGCGAACATCGTATTAAAATGACTGTACTGACGTGGTAAATTGCGGAAGCTCACTTAGAGTATTGAACCCATAAAAAGTACAAATTTTCAGTTATATCATTGTTACAGCAAATGAGTGATACTTTACTTTTGAGTTGAATTTATTTTCGTTACCCTTCGTCGCTGAAAGTGCATCAAGATTGATGATCACGCAAATGTTATTCGTACTTAGTTCGCTTACACGTTCTTGCTTTAATTCAAAACTGTCCAATCGCAGGGCGTAACACACACACGGTATGATTGAAACCGTCTCGTCACGCCCTTAGACCTTGTGCCACTTTGAAAAAAACCCATTGCCTTGAAACGCCCTCGACAATCCATCGACCTTTCTCCTCTATATTCTAATATCTCGATCAATTTCTTCTGATTATTCGACTTAAGGTAACGTGTACGACAATCAATTATATTTTCTATTCCTTGCTTATCAATTCTAAAGAACCATTAGGGAACAACATTCGGATCAGAAGTACCTAACGGTACAATACCTCAATAAAACGTTTTCTCTATTTTCATGTACGTATCCATTCGTCAACAAGTTCGAGATATGAGTTATTGATCGCCGGTTAAATGTACCGTTGCACTACCTGTCTAGAAAGCGATCGAACAATATAATTTCCTCGTGTTTACAAACAAGACGTGATACGTCAAGGTTCCCTCGGGGCTGATACGGCCTAGTCACTGACCGCGAAAGCGTTAATCAGAATTTCAGATCGCTCCTTTCATTAGTCGCGCGCGCCAACTTTCTATCGGCTCGATTTTTTTTCCGACAGATTCCGCTTCTATTTTTAACGCGACGTGACAGCAGCAACTCCCCGAGTGCCGAGCGATCTCGTCGATCCATGCTCGCCTTATCGGCCGCCAATTAACTTCAGCAGATGTTTTCAAATGAAAACGTATCGGTCTACATATCGACGAAGGAAATCAGTGGGCGGGTGTAGATCGTGGACGACGCAAAACGACGAGCAAACGGAGCAGACGGTGCGTGGGTCCTCGGACCGGTGTCGCGTAACAACCGGAGAGGGCTTCCTTGTTGGTGTTAGGGTCTTCTAAGCCCTTCGTAACAGGACTACGTGTGCTCGACAGAGAACAAAAAACAATTTCTTCGATCTGCTCATCGACACGTAACGAGATTCTTCTTCTCTTTTTAAAATTACTACCGCTACCTTCGGATCTTTCTCGACTCGAAAGTATTTTTATACTTTCGATGTTACCTCGATGCTCCAGTTTTTTTTTTCGTCGATCTTAATGTGTTCCCATTTTTTCGCGGACGTTTCTGAATTTGACAGAAATTTACAAGGCGTACCCAAATTAAATGGCAAAACTTTGGGAGCGTATAGAGAACCGATAAATTAACCCCTTGGATACATTTGATTACTGAGACTCGTCGTGCACTTATTTTGCCTAATCGTCATTCGAGTTGAGATACCCAAAGGGTTAAGAAAAATTCTCTTTAAAGATTTGTTTGTTTGTTTATTTCTTCTAGAGAAAATAGCCGCTATAAATTATTCTGATGATATTTGCTGTACTGCAGCCACGATTCAATCTCTCAGTTGCCCTCTTGAGTTGATTGGCATCAAGTAAACTTTCTGCTTCAACATTCCAAAAAGAAAACCTAAAAAAAAACAGTAAAGTAACTTCAGAACAAACGTTAAAATTATCGTACCTTGCAACATGCACAAGGTTTATGTAAAGTGGTTAATGATCGGTTCGGTAATTATCAGTTGTTCCCTCGTCGCCGTGCCTGGTAAAGCCAACTACACCCAACTGCAGCAACAAAAATTCAAATCAATTTAATAATCCCCTGTAACAATAATACCCGGTTTAGAATGGCGCGTCGAAACAACAAGAGACTCCAGTTCCCCTACGAAAACGTTTCGAAATTTTCCGGTTTCAGCGCTTTCCGAATGTAAACGGACACTTTATTACATAGTCTGTTTCTCTGGCGCGAACCCAGGGTATACACACATTTTCACTTTTCACGTTAAAAACCAGTTCCAAAGGGGGGAGGGAGGCGTTGCTGCAATCGACACACGGTGCAGAAACGGGCGCACCGTCTGCCCGGTATTCTCAGTGTGTATTCATTTGTTCGTTACTCGGATTCATCGCATAATTTCGCATAATTTCACTTACTTCCAGACGCCACCGTGGTAACGATTTCGGGTATTATCCGCTCGTTCCGCAGCCACGTTTTAAATCCCGTTTTGTGTCTGCTCCGTTTCACCCTCGTTTCCTGTTATCGTTCCTAGAATATCGTCCCGGGCGTTCGTAAAATTTCCCCGCCGGAATCCGCGGGATATCTTGCCAGCTCATTTGATTATTTTCGCGGGATTGTACTCCACTTTTGCAACATGCAAAATGTTTGTTATCGGAATTGCTCGCTGAGATATCACGAGGAAACGATTCACGAAGAATCTTTTCCGAGCTCTGGAAGATTCCGAGCCGTTTGAATATTTAAAAACTACTATTTAACTGTTATTTGTCAAACTTTACACATAGGAACAGCGATTTTTCCCTGTATTTTACTATTCTACTTCTTATATAAGAAATACCGTACTACTATTTTTAAAGTACTTACTACTTATTTTTCAACCGTTCTCAGCTTTTATTTTTTAAAATACGTACTGCCACGTCATCCGACATCAAAGTGTTAATTTCTGTTTTTCCAAGATATTGCCATTCCTACAGCTTTGCTAGAAATAGACATACGTTAATCATTAATAATTCTATTATTAACAATTACTTCCACAAGGTCCTAATTGTTCGTTTCTACATAACCCTGTAATAATAATGCCATTCTATTTCACATTCTATTTCACATTCAAAATTTCAATTTCGAAAAGATCAGCAGGTACACGGTTCACACGATGGGTTAACAAAACACCGCAGGTTCGAGGTTCGTTTCACGCTGCCCCGTTCCCTTTTCCACACCGTGGAAACTGGCCGAGCCGGGCTTATCTAGCGTCGGTGTTGGGTTGACACCGCGTTACGAGACCGACACAAGCCGCGGTATTATACGTGCTCTTTCGTTACTTCGGCTCTCAGTTCGCCTCGCGAGCGTGTGCAGGCTTCACGCACCGGCCCCTGCTTTCCTCGCGTTTTCTTCGTCGCCGTTCCGTTCTCCGACTAGCTCGTGTATCGATTTAACTCAAAGCCCATCGCCACACCACAGAAGCAACATCATTATGAAAACGTCTACGATAAAGGATCGACGAACCTGATGAGATCAAGCACAAACGAAAGTGAAAGAATCCAAAGGACAATGATTTTGTTTCACATGCTTGAACCGACCGATCGTTCGAAGGAACTTAATTTCCCTTGGCAGGATCGTGAAACCAGCATCGAACTCCACCGATCAGGAATCATTAAATACACGAACCCACGAAGAGACTCAAGTTAACGAAAATGTGAATAACTATCTCTGTCAAATACACTCACACACAAACATTAAGTTCCTCGTTGTAGCTGTTTAACGATCCAGAAATTCGCTAATGATATAATAAAATCTCACGATGTGAGACGTGTGTGTGTATATATATATATATCGATACGCGAACGTGCCAACGATAGTGAAAGTCAACCAAAAGTGAATCAGCTGTGATAAAAGTTATATAATCGGGTGCGAGCGATCATCCAAGTGCTTCCCTCTCTTTATCTATCTATCTCTGTAACTCGATCAACACGAGTATATAAAAGTATTGTGCAACCCTTGATTAGAGGACGCTGAAAGGATCACAGGCGTATGTGTTTCATTCTGCTTAGTGGATGTGACGAAAAGTGGAGAACAAGATAACGATTGGGAAAAAAAAATGGAGTTAGTGAAAAACAACGGAATCGAGATCCTGTCACGCAGGAGCATCGTGATAAAGGATTACGATTGCGAGAATGGTGTGAAGGACGAGGACCACGGGGACGATGATGATCGTGCCTCCATGAAGATCGATCTGTCGATGGCCGAGCAGTTCTACTACGAGGTGATCTCGTCGTTCGAGCAGGAGGAGGTATATATATATATACTATATTGTATATATACATGTATATATACACACACACCGCGTTGACACGCCTTTAATAAACCATTCCATTCTGATTGCTAATCTCACGATTGCACGTCCACGCGTATCATTGTGTCGCCTGGTGCGCGCTCGCGGTGAGAATACGGCTGGAGGGACACATTGTTGATCTCCGGTGACTTGAACCCGCTCTCTCAGTCGACAGTCTCGCCGTTGGGTGATTGATAAAGTTTCCGAACGCATAAGTTTATCGTGGTTAATTAGGAGGTGCGAGGGTAATTGCACGAGTCTGTTTAATTCTGTTGTGTAATTGCGTAGGTTTGGGAGTTTCAGGGAGTAGACTGGCGGATTTTGAGCGAATTTTGATTTTTTCAGATAATTTTTTTAGAAGCTGGTGGACGGAGATTCGTAATGAGTTTTGTTGGAATATGATTTTTCGTTTTCAATCGCTGGCGGATGAAAATTACTTGAATCGTTTCGGGGAATACTTAGTTGAAGGGGTATAATTGTGGTTCGTGAAATTTACAGATGACAAATCAGTTTTACTCTTTGACAATTTTATTTGTTATTTTAACAATTGAATTGATGATATTGCGAACTAAAACTGGGGAAGAATAGTCGATATCGTAATTATGTATCCTAATTTTAGGTAGAGATTATAGGTAGAAATTATCTTTGCTATTTTCATTAAAAATTTTCGATAGATTTTTTTTCACCTTTTTCTTCAAGGTTTAAGTCCCATTTAATCGGTTCATATTTACGAGTTACTTCGTCAATTGATTTGGCCTTCAGAGTTTCGATTCACGTTTATTGTCAATTTTCTTGGCAGCGTGTTGCTAGCGAGCGATTAAAGAGCCGTTTCATATATTGGAATGGCTCGTTGAATCGTCGGAAACAAGGTGGGATGTAATAAAACTACATCGGTCGAGTAACAAAAAACGAAAATAATTTCGAGACCTCTGCAGGATTTTGCAGTGCAATGCACCAAATTTAATAGCATGACTATGTAACTCTTATGTGCCTCGGTAGCTTGAAATTTCATTGGGAATACGATCGAAATAAATAGCTGTACTGTTATTGTAATCATGTAGGTACCTCTAAACAATGAGCTAAAAATAGACGTTGAGTTGTTTCTCGTGAACAGCATGCTTCTACAGTGATGTGGAAAAACATACATGTGTAACCTATATTTGAGTAAATATCTATGGTTAACCTAATTTATAGAATATTACATTACAGAATAATACTCTAATATCGAATACCTTTCGCAAAACAAAATATTTTCTCCGAAATTTCACGACCAAAAATTGCTCCAGAAAATCGTTATCGTCCAATCACTTTCCATACCACAGCATAGAGTGGATGAACCAGCAAATGAACACGTACCAATGAATGAACATTATATATAAAAACTTATGTACTTAACATTGTTCATTCACTGGTGAAACCTGTATTTCTTCCTTTTAACTTAATTAATTACATTTTTCGAATTGAAATCTATATATTAAAAAAAAAGCATAGATATTAAAAAATATCATTTTCATGTGCCAAGTATTAATTAACATTATTATCATTTAAAACTCGACTTTAATAGTTACAAAATCTCAAGTGTTCCTTCATTCGTACATTCATCCTAAAAATATTTCCCACGATCATTATAGAACTATTTATATTCATTTCCATTTTCTATATTCATTTCCAAGCTAATGTTCGCATGTTACAAACCGTTTCGCGTATTTCCAAAAGAGGCAAAAGAAGCGTAATCGAATATCACCGAAAAATCAGGACCAGAGATAGACAGTTCCATCGAATGGAATGCTCGATCTGGATGTTAACAAATCCACCGATTAATCTTCCGTGCGATAGAATTGGAAGTTGCGCGTAACGCAGGATTGGGGGGGAGCTTTTATCTGCGATTAGCGATTCGGTTGTTGGCGCAGTTTGCACCTCGCTCGACGACGGCAGTGGCGGTGGCGGCCACGTTCGCACGGTTCACGAACCCCCGGCGGTGTTGGATGAGCGCCTAGATTTCAAGGCGAACCAGTTGCCTGATAAAACGACGTAATAAATAATGTTAGCAGTAACGCGACTGCCGTAAGGATTATCGTTTTAAATACAAGCACGCGTACGTACGCCCACTACATTGCAACCGCCGCGAGAACGCCTAGAAAGAACCCCCCGTCTGGTGGTACAGCTGTAAAGCATGATTCTAATTTGACTCATTGAATTATTTATTGTCGTCTCAGTGTCTGCTCGCCGATAGGGGGAACCTCCCTATTCACTGTCCGACACTGATTTCGTTTCAGACGCCCCTCACATTCTGTCAAAGCGGAATCGTCCCGAATGCTCGAGATATTCCGAAGAATTTTCATTTTTAATGAGTGTGAATTTGCCAGAAATTACTTTAACTTAGTTAAATTATTTTAACTTACTTAAATTACTTGAATTTATTTAAATTACTTGAATTCACTTAAATTACTTTAAACCTAACTGTTATGTCTGTATATTTATTTCATAAATTATTTTGCTGAGTGATTTTGCAGAATTGTTTGATCGGTAAATTTGCAAATTGTACGTCGAATTTTTAAGTATTGAGTGCCGCGCATTCGACAAGCGCTTGGTGTATCGGTTTACCAATCATTTTTCTGCAGCCTCTAAACTGTTTTTCGATTTCGTACGGTTTATCGGGATTCCCATGTTTCCCGATTACACGGCCGATCGATTTAACGGTTTTTAATTTCGAACTTCCTGTATTCCGTTTCAAATTTTCTGTGTCGCGTCGAAATTGACGAGGGATCCGCCATTATTGCGTCTATCGATTCAACGAAAACTTTAATCCGGGGCCTTCGCGTGCTGAAATTTTAATACCGTGATCGAGAATTCGTTTACTAATTTATCTTTACCATTTTTATTTTTAACATTACATAACATTTCATTTATAAGTTTCAATTCATTTCGTGAATAAAAGTTATCGGTGAAGAAAGCAATTTACATGTTAAATTAGAGTTCAAAATTCGATTGCTTACGTAATATTATGTTTGACAGTAAAATTGTTTGAAGTAAATCAAATCAGACAGTGCATCGAGATCACATTTGACTAATCTTTTTAGATGCATTTCAAGCTCGCAAATATCACATTTAATTAATAATTAACCCACTGACGACTGTAAGCGTACCAGTACGCCACATCGTTTATCTGCCATTCGTAGCACTACTATTTCAAATATTCATTTCTTCCACAGTTGTGTATTTTGCTTAGAAACAATTTTTTCAAAGTCTGGAACACCCTACGCATTTTAAACGAAACAAACTGTGTTATACAAAATATTCTACTAACAACCACAGTTTCAAAAAAGTCATGATTTCTTTTATAATTACAACCTACTCCAAACTTTTGAACAAGACTGTATACACACCTCGTGCGTACGAAACTCGATAAATTTCTTAATTATCATTCCGATTATTTTCCCCTCGATGATATCGTTATGAAGATACACGTACGTTATATTAAGTCCGATGAAAAGCGATAGGTGCGGTTTAATGACGGCTCGCGTCTCCGTGTCGCGATCCGGGGATGATCTTAATTAACCAGGACAGGATGAAAAGCTTAAAATGCGTCGAGGCATTCGACACTGGGACGCGTCGGTACGCGTGGAATGTGCAAGGCGATGCAGCCGCCTTCTCTCCGTTCCCTCCCATTCGGTGGATTATCATGCGGTCTCTTTCGTCACATGGCCAGGAGGCAGGTTGTGCCGCTGTCGACGATTTGTGTGTCACGGCGGCGCGCCCATCGGAGCCTTTATCGCCGGCGACTGAGGACATGCACCCACGTGTTGCCACGTGGAGCTCCCGGCGAACAATAGAAACACGAGAGGAGGGGAGCAGTGAAACAAAACGAAGCATCATCGTGAAAATCATCAGTGTCCATTGTACTCAATTAGTCTTTGTCCCTTGCAACGAGCCCTCGAATAATTCGCTGGTATATCTGGAACCAGCCAGAGTGTATTAAGTCCACTTTAAAAAAAAATTATGTTTCACATGTTTTCTGTATTAAGTATTTCACTCTTTTAGTTTTTAATATTCGTACGTAAAAATGATACGAAGTTCATATTTTTAAAACAGTGTAAGTCACATAAGGGAGTTAATGCAAAATTCACCATTTCTACGTATAGAGATTTTTATTAAATCCATTCGGTAGTTCGAAGGTAGCGATTGTTTCTTGCTTAATTCTTATTGAATGGTTCCAAAGTTACAAGGTCTTCGCACCTTTGAATTCCTCTAAAGTTTGAAAAGTGTGACTTAATACACTCTGGCTCTGGAGTCCAGATATATACCTTTGTGGTGGTGATTACACCAATGAAACCGGTGTTTTGCAAATTTTCCTTTTTATAACCGTTCAGTTTCTATTTTCGCGTTTTCAATTGTAGTGGAACGCCGATTATCGGAAACGCCGGTCAACCCAAATACCGATTATCGGAACGCAGAACGTGTCACGAATGTTTTCTGAACGAACTAGTTTAAACGAAGCACGGGAAAGCATAACATCTAAACTATCTAACTTATAACGAATGTTACTGCTTTCCAGTGACTCTTTTAAACAAGTTCGCTCAGAAAACATTCGTGACTAGTTCTGCATTCCGATAATCATTAATTCTAAACGAGTTTAAAGGAAAATTTACGTTTGAATTAACAGTACGATTACGATCTATATCTAACTCAAGCTCATTGCAGTAACACCAAGGACCTCACTTCACCCTCACTCCATCCAACCTACGAATTTACGCTTTCACACTTAGGGTATGCATCGCAGTTGATTCGTCCACAAACCATTCAATTCATCAAAAGTAAAGACTAGCTCTATTTTACCCACTTTGGATAAAATGCAGATGGCAAATAATTTTTCCACCTTTCAATGTACATAAATCATCCCCGTTCCACAACCAAAGTATAAAATCTAAATTCGCCTTTATCCCCCAACCTCCAAGGCC